TGTTGAATTCCTAATCCCCAGTGTGATAGTATGGAGGTGGTGGTAGGGGTCTGGGAATAATTAGACTATGAAGGTGGAGTCCTTATGGATGGGATTAGTGCCCTTTTCTGAAGAGACACAAGAAAGATAATGTGTCCATGATGTGAGGATACAGCAAGAAGGTGTCTATGTGAAAACTTGAAAAAGGGCTCTTAGAAATTGAATTAGCCAGCACTTTCATCTTGGATTTCCCAGTCTCCAGAATGGTTTTGAAATGAGTTCTGTTGTTTAATTCACCAAATCTTCGGTATTTGTTATAGCAGCCTGACCTAATACATACATTCATACCACAAAGTGGGGTGCTGCTGTAACAAACGTCTAAAAATGTGGAAGCGGCTTTGGAAGTGGGTAATGGGTAGAGACTAGAAGAGTGTTGAGTTGCATGCTAAGAAAAGCCTACTTTGCCAGGAATGGAACTTTAATTTCTTCTTCTTTCTTCTTTCTTCTTTCTTCTTTCTTCTTCTTCAAGATTTTATTTATTTGTTTGACAGACAGAGATCACAAGTAGGCGGAAGGGTGGTGGGGAAGCAGGCTCTCTGAGGAGCAGAGAGCCTGATGTGGGGCTCGATCCCAGGACCCTGAGATCATGGCCTGAGCTGAAGGCAGAAGCTTAACCCGCTGAGCTAAGCGAAGTATTGGAGGGATAGCTTGGTTCTTCCTGTTTATGGTAGAATGCAAGGAGAAAGAGAAACTGAAGAATGAATTGGTTTTTTTTTTCTTTCTTTTATTGAAGTATAGTTGACACATGATGTTACATTAGTTTCAGCTTTACAACTTAGTGATTTAACTTCTCTGTACATTATGCTATGTTCACCTCAAATGTAACTACCATCTGTTATTGTACAACACTATTAAAATACCCTACCCTATTAAAGGTTTTAATTTACCTTTTAATCCCAGTGATTTATTCATTCCATAACTGGAAGCCTTCACCCATTTTTGCCCATCCTCCACCCCCCACCCCCACCCCTCTCATAGCCATAACTTTGTTTTCTGTGGATCTGTTTCTACTTTTCTTTCATTTTTATTTTTTAGATTCCAGATATAAGAGAAATGATACAGTATTTGTCTTTCTCTGACATAATTCACTTAACATAATAACCTTTAGGTTCATCCATGTTGTCACAAATGACAAGATTTCATTAGTTTTTATGGCTGAGTAATATTACATTGTGTGTATATAGCCCATCTTGATCCATTCGTGTATTGATGGATACTTGGGCTACTTCCAAATCCTGGCTGTTGTAAAGAGTGCTGCAGTAGACGTAGGGGTGCATATGTCTCCTCGAATTTTTGTGTTCTTTGGGTAAATACTCAGGAGTGGAATTACTGGATCATATGGTATTTCTGTTTTTAAGTTTTTGAGGAACCATACTATTTTTCTCCTGTTTTCACCAATTTACATTCCCACCAGCAGTGCATGAGGGTTCCCTGTTCTCCACATCCTCACCAACAATTGTTATTTCTTGTCTTTTTTTTTTTATTCTACCCATTCTGACAGGTGTAAGGTGATATCTCATTGTGGTTTTAATTTACATTTCCCTGATGATTAGTAATGTTGAGCATCTTTTCATGTGTCTGTTAGCCATCTTGTATGTCTTTGGAGAAATATTCAGATCCTCTGCCCATTTTTTTCATCAGATTATTTGGGGTGGTTTTTTGTGTTTGTTTTTTTTTGCGTTGTTATATAAGTTCTTTATATATTTTGGATATTAACCTCTATTTGTATGTATTGTTTGCAGGTATCTTCTCCCGTTCAGTCAGTTGCCTTTTTATTTTATTGATGGTTTCCTTCACTTTGCAAAAACTTTAATTTTGGTATAGTCTTACCTGACGAATCTTATCTAGAAAAATATTGCTAAGGCCAATGTCAAATTATTGCCTATGTTTTCTTCTAGGAGTTTTATGGTTTCAGGGCTCACATTTAGGTCTTTAATCCAGTTTGAGTTTATTTTGTATAAGATACCTTTTGTATGAGTGGTGTAGTCTCTTTTTTTTTTTTCGTAAGTAGCTGTCCAACTTCCTAGCACCATTTACTGAAAATAGTGTCTTTTCCTCATTGTATATTCTTGCCTCCTTTGTCATAGATTGACTTTGTGTGGGTTTATTTCTGGGCTCTGTATTCTGTCCTTTTGATCTATATGCCTTTTTTGTGTGTGCCAATACCATAGTGTTTTGATTACTATATCTTTGGAATAGATCTTGAAATCTGGGATTGTGATACTTGCAGCTTGGTTCTTTCTCAAATTTGCTTTGGCTATTCAGGGTCTTTTGTGGTTGCATAGAAATTTTAGTATTATTTGTTCTAGTTCTGTGAAAAATGCTTTTGGTACTTCGATAAGGATTGCAATGAATCTATAGATTGCTTTGAGTAGTATAGACATTTTAACAATATTCTTCCAATCCACGAGCATGGGATATCTTTTTATTTGTTTGTGTCATCTTCATTGATTTCTTCAGTGTTTTATAGTTTTCAGAATACAGGTCTTTTATAGTTTCCAGAACACAGGTCTTTTACCTCGTTGGTTAAGTTTATTCCTAGGTATTTATTCTTTATGGTCCAGTGGTAAATGGAATTGGTTTTTTACTTTCTCTTCCTGTCACTTCATTATTAATGTTTAGAAATGCAACCAATTTCAGCATATTATCCTGCAATGTTACTGAATTCATTTATTATTTCAAAGAAGGAATTGTTAAACAAAAAGGAACCAGAACTTAAAGCTTTGGCATAGTTTCAATCTGTACATATCGTAGAAAATGAGAAGGCATGTTTGGAAGAAGACAACAAGGGTATGGTTGACCAACTGTTTGGTAAGGAGATTAGAATGTGTGTTAACTGCAGACTACTTCAGCGACCCCAGCAGGATCACTGACAGTTTGAACAGAAAGAGATGGATATAGGTCTGGAATGAAGGAGGGCTGTCAGACTTAGATTCTTCAGGACAGGACGATAAACAAACCATTAGACTTTGAACCTGCACTGTTTTTCAAGAAAGGAAAGAATGTTCCAAAAGCTGATTCAGAGATCATCAGGGCTACCATCTTGGTTCTAGTAATCCAGTCTGCTTCCAGCCAAAGCCATACAGAAGGACTGCTGGCAGGGCCCTAAGAGTGTGACCCCTGCCTGGCAGAGCCTCAAGTTGGGTGGGTCCTCCACAGAAAGCCACAGCATGGTGGTGCCCCACCAAGGCATGGGGGTGATATTGCCCCCTCAGTGGGTCTGGAAGTCAGATCACTGGATCAATGAGGATTCTTAAGTCTTAAGACCTCGTGGAGTTTGCCTTGTTAGGTTTTGGAATTGCTGGGGACTGTCACCCCTTCCTTCTTTCCTATTTCTCCCTTTTGGAATGGAAATGTCTGTCCTATGCCAGTGACATGTTCATAGCTGGAGAGGAATTTTGCCTCAGGATCAATCATACCTTGAATCTTACTCATATCTGATTTAGATATTTATTAATTATTTTATTTTTCTAGTATAGTTGACATACAATGTTACATTAGTTTCACATGTAAGGTTTAGATGATATTTAGATGAGACTTTGGACTTTAGAAGTTGAAAAAAAAAAAGTTGAAGGGTGCCTGGGTGGCTCAGAGGATTAAGCCTCTGCCTTTCAGCTCAGGTCATGGTCTCAGGGTCCTGGGATCGAGCCCCGCATCAGGCTCTCTGCTCAACGGGGAGCCTGCTTCCACCTCCCTCTCAGCCTGCCTCTCTGCCTACTTGTGATCTCTTTGTGTCAAATAAATAAATAAAATCTTAAAAAAAAAAAGTTGAAGTTGATGCTGGAATGAGTTAACAATTTTGAGGTTGTTGGGATGGAACGAATATATTTTACATGTGAGAAGGGCATAAATTTGGGCAGAGGTAGAATATTGTGGACTGAATGTTTGTATCTCTTGGGCATGTGAGGCTACATTAATAAGGAATCTATCTGCAAACCAGGAAATAGGTTCTCGGCAGGCACCAGATTGGTTGTTGGCACCTTGATCTTCCAGCCTCCAGAACAGTGAGAAGTAAATTTATGTTGTTTAAACCACCCAGTCTATGGTAACATGGTATGTACACAAAAGATTTGAAAGGGCCTCCAGGAGATATTTGTATACTTCTGTTCATAACATCATTATTCACAATAGCTCGGAGTTAAAAGCAGCCCAGATGTCTGTTGATGAATGAATAAACAAAATTTGGTATTTGGTATATACGTGCAATGGGGTATCAATTCAGTTTTAGAAAGAAGGGAAAATCTGATACGTGTAACAATATGGATCAACCTTAAGGATGTTATGCCAAGTGAAACAAGCTAGTCACAAAAAGACAAATAGTCTATGATTCTATTTATATAAGGTACCTAGAGTAGTCATTCAGAAAGGCAGAAAGTAGAATGATGGATGGTTACCAGGGGCTGGTGAGAGGAGGGAATGTTTTGATAATTTTAATATGTTCGGGTTTTCCTTTAAGTTGCAGGATTTTATAAATCATTAGTGAATGTAGCGATGACACTCTCAATCGTGGGAGCACTGCTGATTATTAGAGCAAGCTCTGGAATACATTTACAGTATTTTTAAAGGGCCTTAGTACCCATACCAACAAATGCCCTTGCCAGAGCAGTTTTGAAATTTTGCCTAATTATACTAGGATTTACTTTTACGTTACTTTAAACTGTTTTTGGAAATAATGAAAGCCTATTATATTAATTATTTTAATTTTGTTTATATCTTCCTTTCTTTTTTATTTTTAATCTTTTTTAAGATTTTATTTTTAAGAAATCTCTACACCCACCGTGGGGCTCAAACTCACAACCCTGAGATCCAGAGTCACAACCTTCACAGACTGAGCCAGCCAGCTGCCCCTGTTTTCTTTTTAATAGGCACACTTAGATCACCCTAAGAACAGATTTGAGTGCCAATACATCTCCTGGCTTACCTTTAATTTTTTGGTATTTTGTGTTATGTTCTAAATTTAGATATCCAAAGAGAAGAAGAAAAAGTGAAACGGTCAGTGAGAGATGCTGCCAAGAAGGGTCAGAAGGACGTCTGTGTGGTGCTAGCCAAGGAGATGATCAGGTCAAGGAAGGCCGTGAGCAAGCTCTACGCTTCCAAAGCGCACATGAACTCCGTGCTCATGGGGATGAAGAACCAGCTGGGTAAGAGGGCAGTTACCTTACAGCATCTGCATCAGTGCGGACGCTCTTGCTCTTGTTACCTGTCCTGGCTGCTTGCCGTGAGTAGGAAAAAGTCTCAGCTCTGGTTTTTATTCTTTATATTGTCTTTGGAGTGTTAACACAAATGCAAAATATGATTATGTGATTCATTTTCCTTTGCCAGTGTTGTTACAATAATGGCAAGATATGCATATCAATCTGCTTTATGTGGAATATTTTCCCTCGTGTGAACAGTGTCTTAAAAGTGACCTGAGCATTGAGTTATGGGAGTAAGAAGTGCATTAGAGGAGGAAGAGGAGCATTTCCCTGGTTTGGGTGCAGACCACCGGAGCCAGAATTTTTTTTTTTCTTTTTTTAAGATTTATTTGTTTATTTATTTATTTATTTGACAGAGATCATAAGTAGGCAGAGAGGCCGGCGGAGAGAGAGGGGGAAGCAGGCTCCCCACTGAGCAGGGAGCCCGATGATGCGGGGCTCCATCCCAGTACCCTGAGATCACTACCTGAGCCAAAGGCAGAGGCTTTAACCCACTGAGCCACCCAGGCGCCCCCTAGCCAGAATTTTAAAATAGTCCATGTTTGTCTTTAGCTTTCACCCACCTCCTTTTGTGCCTTATCTCTGACCCTTTACCTAATGCTTCCTTACATCTTAGGAATCTGTAGACTATGTAATGGGTGTTCAGCTCACATGGGAACTATCAGTTTAATTTTAAAAACATGTTATAATATTTAAAACAAAATAAACATAATTGAGTTTTCTTTTATTGTCCAGTATAATACTGTTGTGATCTTTCACAGGTATCTGTCTCCAGGTCAGAGGCAGCTTGAGTCATAGATTAAATTTTATATCCAGTTGGTTTCTGGTTTTTTACTTAACTTCTGTTAAATTAAGAAGTCCTAACTCAGAAGTATCATTCTTTGAGAATGGCAGCAAGTGACTCTCAGATATTTAGACTTGAGTACTGACTCAGAAATTACAGTGAAATTTTTCACTAAGGAATATTTTCAGCTGTCAGATATGACATTGATGATATGGCACATTCAAAAGCTAGGAGACTTGAATGTTTCAGATTAGGGGCTGGTGCCAAATGAGTACCTGGTCCATTATTTGGTTTTATTTGGTTCTGAAAGTATTCCTTTGGGTTCGATGTTAACACTGAGAAGTGGTTGTTAAAAACACCTAGTAATGAATAAATCATCAGTTTCTTTCTGAAGATACTGAAGATAGTAATAATGGATTGGGAAGGAGGAAAAAAAAAATGAAAACAACCATACCACATCTTCTTAACTTTAAAATCTATTATTTCAGCTCTAAGTAATTATACACACACATATTTATACACATGCACATGCACACACACACACACACACGCACACACTTTTTAAATACTAGATATATAATCTAGATACATGCCTTTGAAGAAGCCAGAGTACAGAGAGAGAGAGAGAGAGTACCGGGAAGAAATAATCTAATCTAACCTGTCATTTTGAAAGCTTAGGTGTACTCTTGCCTTTCACAGCCAGCAAGGATTTCTTACTTACATCCTGTTCTTTCTGCAGCATAAATGTTCAGTTGACCATGATGAACTTACTGTAAAATTTTTCGGTATCTCCTTTACTGAATCATCATTAGAAAACATACAGCTTACTGTGCTCGCCCGCTTCTCCTATGAATAAAGCACTATATGCACAGCCTCTTTGGTTTCCCCACTTGCAAAGATAAAAGTTCACCGGATAATATACTAGATGCTTAGGTTCCTATCACCCAGAATTAATAAAATTTGACACTTGTTATATTTGCTTCAGTTTTATATTATAGAAGAAGCCATATTACTACAGTTGAAGCTCCTTTAATAAGCCTTCCCAGTTCCAGCCCCTTCTCTCTCAGCCTCCCCACAGGTAACCACTGTCATGAATCTTAACATTTGTAGAAATGGTATTATACTGTATAAACCATTCTGCATTTTTTCCCCATTTATCATTGTGTTTTTGAAGTATACCAATAATGATGTATTTTTAAACTACTGGGTAGTGTTCCATCAGATGGATGTATCATGCTTTTTCCTTCTCCCATTGATGGACATTTAGGCTGTTTTTATTTTTTATTTTTTATTTTTTTAAAAGATTTTATTTATTTATTTCACAGACAGAGATCACAAGTAGGCAGAGAGGCAGGCAGAGAGAGAGGGAAGCAGGCTATCCGCGGAGCAGAGAGCCTGATGCGGGGCTCGATCCCAGGACCCTGGGATCATGACCTGAGCCGAAGGCAGAGGCTTTAACCCACTGAGCCACCCAGGCGCCCCTGTTTTTAATTTTTTGCTATTACTCACAGTGATGCTGTGAATGTCTGTTCATTTTTGCACATGCATTAAGATTTCTTTAGGACAGTTATGTACTCAGAAATGGGACTGTTGGTTAAAAATAACTGGGTTTAAATTTTGGTAGAATTGCAAAATTGCCCTCCAGAGAGGCTTTGCTAATTTACATTCCCACCAGCAGTGGATGAGAGTTCTTTTTTCCATACCTCTTTACCAGTCTTTGGCAGACTTTGTAATTTTTGAGAAATGTTACCTTGTTCATACCAAATAACATTTCTCGGGGAACTAGTGTACTTGATCACAGTCTTCTTTTCACCTTTTCTTTCTGTGTACTGATTGCTAAAAACCTTTTCAGACAGTTACAGCTCACAAGTAATCTGCATGAAAAGTCTCTTCTCCTGTAGCGTGTTTTTTCAGTAGTGAGCATAACGAAAGCTCTCGTATGTACTGCAGAGAAGTCAGAAGCCTGTTATCCTTTATACACCCATAATAATATATTTTATTGTTGGTTTCAAATATATATTATTTGTGGTTTTATCACAACCAAGAAGTAAGATACCTGTTTGGTCTTTAAATGTCCAAGTGCTCCAAAGCTCCGTTCTAGATCCTTTGCTGTTTTCCATGTTCTCTGTCCCTGTATGACCTCACCTAACCTCATTCCTCCAGGTGTTGCTTTGCACATTTTTATCTGCAAGCCCGACTTTGCCACCTAGTGTACGGGTGGCGTCTCCACTTCTGTCTTTGTGGGTGTGTCACAGTTGCCATGCCCACACAGAAATCTTGGCTGGTGCACCTCAGCTGCACCCACACCTCCTCCCTGCATTTTCCCCTGGGAGCCCAAGACCTCGAACACTTTCATCTGGGAATATTTCAGGTGCCTCCTTAGCGCAGTAGGCATCGCGTCAGTCTCATCTGGGAATATTTCCACATGGCTTCCTAAGACAGGGGTTCTGTCCCTTCTATTCCCTGTTCTCTTAGTTCTTGGATGTGTTCATGTGATTATTTCCTTGCCATTGTATTTTCTGTTTCTTTCTGGAAGCAAAAGATTTTAGTTGTCAGATTTCCCAGACCGATTCTTAAATTTCTTACCTTTCCTGTTTTCCATTTTGAAAATCAGAATAGCACCTTCCTCATAGGGTGGGTGTGAGGCTTATTCAACGCCTGGCACGGGGTGATTGCTTTATATGTAGGTTCAGAATATCAGCTGTCATCAATTTTGTCACTGCATTTTCCTTTCTGAGAAATTTCCTCAACTTTATTTTCCATTTCTTTTCTGAATTCTTTATTTTGGCTGTTTTAATTTTATTTACAGAAAAGAGTTCTCTATTTTTTTTAAATCCTCCTGTTTTTACTTCATAAACACAATTTGTTCCCCATACTGATTGTCTTCTTTCTGAAATATTCTAGTGTTCCTTGAACTGTGTTTCTCAGAGCTCCTTCCCATGACCCCCTTCTTCCCTTTTTCTCCTTTTTTTTTTTTTTTTTTTTTTTTTAAGGAAGAAAGAGAGAGGGAGAAAAGGGTGGGGAGGCTAGATTGAGTGTAGACTGCTTGAGGACCTTCCCCGGTCTTCTCAGGCAGATAGACTAAGCTACAAAGAGCAAAATGACAATGCATTTGATGCATTTTTTTAGCCCGTATTATGTGCCAGATATATTGCTGGGCACAGGGGATGAATTAATCAACATTACAGGCACAGTCATTGCCCTCTAGAGCATGGGGTGGAAGACAAATAATCAGATAAATTTAACAAAAATAAAAATACATAATAAATAATAAATTTAAGAAGTAAGTAAATGTCCTGCAAATTAGCAGTAAGCACCAGGGGACTTGTAAAAGGGAACTGCAGTCACGGATGGCTCCTTTCAGGGACTGATGATACCTGAAGAAGGAAGTGGGTGGCAGGGGTTGGGGAAGGGTCCAGCCAGACTGCCAGAAAGCCCCGGGGCCAAAACTGTGCACTTAAAGCACTGAAGGAAGTTCTGGAAGGTTGGGGTGCCTGAGAGCAAGGGGGAGGGGTGGTCAGAGAGGCTGAGCAGGAAGGTGAAGACAGTTTTTACAGCTGTTAGGGTTTTCAGAGGCAAGCTCCGGTTTAGACGGCGGTGGTGATGGCACAGGTGATATGCAAGGGGAGTTCAGAGGAAGAGTATCTTGGGGAGAATCGGAGTACTCTGTGTTGACCAGTTAGGGTGTACCAAGGCACAGGTGAACGTTTCGGGCTGTGTTCAGCAAACAGCACTTGATTCCGTTTGACGAGAGCACATTAAGGGGGGCAGTGGGAGGTAAAGCTCCAAAGGTAACTTGGAGTCAGTTTTATAAGTTAATCTGAGGTGCTGTCCTTCATCTCATAGACAGTGGAGCGCCGTGGCCCCCTGCGAGCACAGAGGGCAGTGCTGCGAGGATCTGGCCCCGTGGAATGGTGGCGGTGGGTGGGGCCGGTGGTGGCTGTAGCTGCTGCAGCGGGCAGGGCCTGCGTGGCTCAGTCTGACGGCTCCCAGTGAAGAGAGGACGCTGGGAAGGCCTAGTCTGGATGCAGAGTAAATGGCCGTGGCGAAGGTATAAATGAGCTGGAAATGCTCTAAGCCCTTGAACCTGGGAAGAATGCAGGGCCATTAAAAGACACTGGAAACCAAGGGGAGGGAAGAGGCTCTAAAGAGAAAAGGGAGA